ACACAAAAATGTGGTACAAATAATGTGGGGGAAAGGATGAGTTTATATCAATTGCTAGTATACTATTTCTTATCTTCTTTGATCCACTTATTATTAACACATCTTGATTATATGTGTGGTCAATTTCAGAATGCAAATTTTGGTAAAAATTTTCAGTTTACTCTTTGGCTTTAGCTGTAGGAGCATATGTTTGGGTAATAGTTTTATTAACAGATCTTCCTTCTCTGAATATGGATAATATCCTATCACAACAATTATGGACTTGGTGACAGAAATGAGGCTGGAAATAGAAGGATCAAATTTTGTGTGTTCAATTATTTATTCATGGCAAATACCTTTCTATAAAATTATAAACAACTTTACACATGGACCTTACCTGATGAACTACATAGGAATCAGGTTGACTACATCTGTTGAAGGAATCATTAGAAAAGCTTATTATCAGCAATTAAAACCAGAGAAGAGGCAGACTATAGAACAGACCATCAATTACTCATGTGCAAATTCAAACTGGAGCTGAAGAAAATTAAAACAAGTCTTTAAAAATAAAGATGTAATTTTGAGTCTATTACACCTGAATTTAAATAAAAATCATCTTAAGAATAGTTAGAAGCATTGGATACTAGTGATTAAAGACCAAGTGAATTGTGGGATAACATCAAAGATATCATCCCTGAAGAGAGCAAAAGGTCATTACAAAGACAGAGGAGAAAGAAAAAAACCGAAATGAGTGTGAGAAGAGACCCTGAAAATTGACCTATAGCAGCGAGAAGCCAAAACAAATGGAAAGGATGTGAAAGTAAGGGAGCAGAATAGAAAATGTCAAAGGGCAGCTTAAAAAGACAAAGCAAAGTAATATAGTGGAATGTGCATTGAGCTGGAATTGGAAAATAAAAAGTGAAGAACTTGCTCTACATTTCTCAAGCTGAGAGAACTGAAAAACAAATTTAAGCTTCAAGTCACAATATTGAAGGATGCTATGGGCAATAATGAGGAGGAGTGTGGCATCAGGATTGGAGGGAGACTCATCAATAACTTTCATTATGGAGATGACACAACTTGCTTGCCAAAAGTGAAGAGGACTTGAAGCGCTTATTGCAGAGAATCAAGGAATGCAGCCTTCAATAAGGATTGCATCGTAAAGTCAGGAAAACAAAGATTCTTAACCACTGCACTAATGGGCAGCATCATGACGTATGGAGAGGAGATTGAAACTGTCAATAGCTTCATCTTGCTTGGATCCACAATTAACACTTTTTGGTATCAGCAGTCAGGAAATAAGCTGCAGTGAACTGGGAAAATTTGCAGTTAGGGACCTTTCCAGATTATTGAGGACTAGTGATGTCAGTTTGAAGATGAAGGGCATCTGATTCAGGCCATAGTCTTTCCAGTTACTTGCTATGCACCTGAGAGCTGGGCCATGGATAAAGATGACAAGAAAGGAATTGACACTTTTTTTTTAAATAGCAAAATTTATTTTATGTTCTTAAATGGATTCAAAAGTTCAGTTTATCTATGAGTACACTCATATACATGCATATATGTTGTTATTGTGTACCATGAAGTTGGAACGAATTCATATCTGACCAACTAGCCAGTTATAGTGGTTCAAAGTAAAATTCATAACTTCAGTAATGTAGATTAATTATTTAGGTTTGTCAATATAGTTACTCTTATCAATATGTTGATGGTTTATTTCAATATCTCTCAGGAGTCATGTCAGTTGACCATGCTAT